GAACCCGGTTCCCCAGATTACGAGACTACCGCTCTTAACCTCTACACCACACTGGCTCTCTAACATCCTTCTTAGATGTTAATGTGTATTACTTCACTTACTTCAACATGAAGAGAATCTCTTGAGTGGGGCGGTGAAATCAAGGCCTGAACCTTATCAGGTAGTACGGCAGAAAGAAGCTTGGCAATGGATCACAATATTGAGGCAGAGTTAAGTGGGAGTTATTTTCCAGATGTGGCTTACAGCAGTTCTTGCTGCCATTAGTGTGTATTGTGAATGTAAAACGCACATCGGCCAGAATGCTCACTTGCTATACAAATGCCCCCACCTTAATTAAACATTAACAGAAATACAGTGGTACCTTGGGTTACAGACGCTTCAGGTTACAGACGCTTCAGGTTACAGACTCCACTGACCCAGAAATAGTACCTCGGGTTGAGAACTTTGCTTCAGGATGAGAACAGAAATCATGTGGTGCCGGCACAGTGGCAGCGGGAGGCCCCATTAGCTAAAGTGGTACCTCAGGTTGAGAACAGTTTCAGGTTAAGAACGGACCTCCAGAACGAATTAAGTTCTTAACCCGAGGTACCACTGTAGTGTGAGAGAGGCTCTCAGTTGTTTTAAGCCTCACACATGAAAGCACTCTGAGGCTCATGACTGCTTTCCAAGCTCTGTTTCCTCACAAAGACTTTCTAAGTGTGCTACTCTAATTTCTTTTCCAGACTCAGGATTTGCGATAAGGGTGATTCTGTTGCGGCAAGTCATTTATCTGCTGTTGGATGCAGTGCCATTTTCTATACTGTAACCATCAACTATCTAGTCAACACTAAGGCTATTTTGGGAAGGAATTTGGAGTTACTGTACCTTGCTCTTCAAACGGAGCGTGGGAAATACTCTTGGCCTGGAGGAAGTCAAAATTCACCTCCATCCCACTCAACATTGCCAAGTTCATTGAAGGCCCCAAAACAGGAAGCACTTGATTTGTTGTTCATACAACACCAGCAAAAGCAGTATAACTGTCAGTGAATCAATAGGACAGCTCCTTAGCCCAATAGTGTTTTCACCATTTCTAGTATGATAAACTTCTCTTCTGGTTAGAAAATTCTTAAGACCCTCTGCAATACGATAGGCATTGCTTTACTGTTGGACCTCAGAGAGATTTTAACTGGGTTCCTTAAAAGGAAGGGAAATAGATCCCAGAAAGGACTTATAGTTTGTTTGTTATTAACTGCTAAAAATCTGAATAACAAGAAACTGGTTCTCGAATGAGCCTCTTTTAATTAATGGCTTTCTACAGCTTGAGAAATATTTCAGGTCTTGAAATTAACATATTACATAATATCTAATGAGCATCTTACTGCACAATCCTAGGCATGCCTGCCTGGAAATACAGTGGTACCTCGGGTTACATATGCTTCAGGTTACAGACTCAGAAATATTACCTCAGGTTAAGAACTTTGCTTCAGGATGAGAACAGAAATCGTGCTCTGGCAGCGCGGCGGCAGCAGGAGGCCCCATTAGCTAAAGTGGTGCTTCAGGTTAAGAACAGTTTCAGGTTAAGAATGGACCTCCGGATCAAATTAAGTACTTAACCTGAGGTACCACTGTAAGCTCCATTGTCTTCAACAGAGTTTACTCTTGGTCCAGGTAAGTGTATATAGATTGCAATTTTGGATTATCAGAAAATCATTTGAATTGTTTGTGAGGGAAGATTCTCTCCCACCCCTCCAACCCAGTGTATGTCTTTAAAAAAAATTTTTAATAGAGACTTAACACTAGTAAAGATCACTAACCTACCCACACCGCCCTGAATGGATCTCTCAGCCAACCTCAACAATAATCTTGCTTATCCGCAAACAGCAACTACACCATATGGTTCATCCACTCACACTGACATACAATAAATCAAATGCACAAGAGGAGGGGAGGGGACTTCTGGATATCTTTGATTCATTCATTGTTATGCGTCGTTCATTTTATACTTCGTCCTTTTGCTGTCGATTTGTATACAATACTTAGGAAATCTGAATAAATTTAAGCTCTCCCTATGACTCTGGCATAATATTATCTGTTAAGCAGGAGGTTAACTTCTACCTGGCTGGACTGTTTTGCAATAATCCAGATTTGACTATAGGAAGAGATATTTCACAGAGCCCCATGAAACGAGTTTGGAAACCACTGGTATAGAAGTCCATGTTTTTTTTGGATCCTGTCCTTACTACATCTCACCACTGTTCCTCAAATATCAGTATCCAAAACCTGAGATAGTGACCCCACTTTGCTTTATGGCAGGGCCAGCCTTGCCATCACCTGATCAGTGCATCAAATACTGAACACCTGATGGGAGACAACACAGGGGTAGTGTTTGGGGCAGTTGCAAGAGCACCGACAGTGATTGCTCATGGAAAAATCCAAAATGTTAAATTAATGTGAAGTAGACTGTTGGGGACGTGGGTGGCGCTGTGGGTTAAACCACAGAGCCTAGGGCTTGCCGATCAGAAGGTCAGTGGTTCGAATCTCCGTGATGGGGTGAGCTCCCGTTGCTCGGTCCCTGCTCCTGCCAACCTAGCAGTTCGAAAGCACGTCAAAGTGCAAGTAGATAAATAGGTACCACTCCGGCGGGAAGGTAAATGGCGTTTCCGTGCGCTGCTCTGGTTCGCCAGAAGCGGCTTAGTCATGTTGGCCACATGACCCGGAAGCTGTATGCTGGCTCCCTTGGCCAATAAAGCGAGATGAGCGCCGCAACCCCAGAGTCGGCCACGACTGGACCTAATGGTCAGGGGTCCCTTTACTTTACCTTTAGACTGTTAGGAGGAGATGGTTAGTGCCTGCCTCCATTCTACCCTGTGAGTAGCCTGTCAGGAAGTAAACATGGCTGGGCTGAAAGTGATGTGTTCCTGTGGTAGCTGGCACAACTGTCTTCCCCACAACTGAGAGTTGGTGCAATCAACAAGGGAGAAGGTGTTTGGACATTTGGGCACCTCTTCCCCTCTGGAGATAAAACCAAGGAAGAAAACCACCAACAGGAAACAGAGGAGTTTTAGATCTGGGTTTTTGCACCCAGTGGTGAGGCAGAATTGCTCTGGGAAACTTGTGGTGGTGGTGAGTTGTAAAGGGAGTGGGAAAATGATATTACGGTTACTGGCTCCTGGAGAAGGTCCAGGGATGAGCTGAGCACCCGAAACTCCAGTCGAGGTGTTAGGGACTCACCATGCCTCTTCTGAGATAAGAGCTCAGCGTGGGGCTAGGAGGACTTTCTGGTTCAACCCTGTTGCCCAGGGATATCTGACATAGGTGATCTTGAAGTGCTATAACCTGACACCATACATGTGAATGATGGTAATTAAAGGCATGCCTAAAGGCATCTTTGGTGGTGAAGTTAAATTGTCAGGCGATTAAGAAACTTTCCTTAAATAACAGCCTTTAGCACCAAGCAACCTACTTTTACTTTCTCACTTCTAGTTAAAAACAACATTCTTTTGAAAATATTTGATTATTGGCTTCAGAAGATCTAATGCCTTTGGACTTCTCGGTGCTTTACAGCTTTCCAATGTATTAGCCTCAGAAAATGGAATAATAAAGTCTGTAATCTGAAATTTGGCTATAGCAGGAAAGCACATGCTGTCCTTCAGATTTCCTTGTATGTCTTTTGAAAAGACTCTGAATGATCATAGCTGTATTGGGTGAAGAAAGGTAAGGGGTTCTAAGAATATGACAGAATTTGAAGTTAAGTTTTATGATGATAAAGTGTTTACAGGGGGGGAAAAGAAATGAAAGAAAAAATAGTTTAAAAAGAAAAGGATAAGCTGTCAACCATCAATAAAGAAGGATTCAGCTATGCAATAAAGTAGGATATAGTGGTAGCTCGGGTTAAGAACTTAATTCGTTCTGGAGGTCCGTTCTTATACAGCTATGCAATTTACTGAGTTAATAATAACATATACCAAGAGGAAAAGGATGCGTGTTCTATCATTAGAAATGGTCTCAAGGTCTAAACCAAAACAATTACAATATTTTATTTCAAAAAAAGAAGTTGAAAAATCCCACTGAACTGTACTAAATCCAAACACCCTCACTGACCCGTGGTACCTGACATTCCTAAGCTATGGCGATGGTATATAAAACAAATTAAGACCAACAGGTAAAAGGAGCAATCTTCAACACTTTGCCCTTCCTAACATGCATGTTTTTGTATGCAGTTTTGCCTAATCCACACATATTTGCAAAGCAGTTTCCCCCTAATACAGAACATTTTTTTGTATCACAAAATTCAGAGAAATGTGGATTTTGAAGGACGGCTGTATTTTGGTTCCTGTGTTGTTTTGTAAAGGGTGAATTGCATGAGTTCACCTTCACATGCAACATGAAACCATCCCCCGCCCCATCCCTGAATGCAATTCATGAAAGCAAGAGCCCATGGAGCCAGAACACAGCAACCTCTGCTCCTCTGACATAGATATTGGAGATAATAGACTTTGGCCTCATGCCATGGTCTGAAGGCATGTGATGCAGAAGCTAAGCATGTGGTCTGGTAAGTGTCAGGATTAAGAGATCACCTGAGAACCTGATTTGAAGCACTTTTAAATCTATCGTGGAAGAAAGGTGGGGAAGAAATAAATATGGCTGAGATTTGTACATCACTGGCTCATGCATTACATTAGTTTATTCAAAGTGACAGGAACACACACATTGACGCTTTTAAGCAGGCATAGGCAAACTCGGCCCTCCAGATGTTTTGGGACTACAACTCCCATCATCCCTGACCACTGGTCCGTTAGCTAGGGATGATGGGTGTTGTAGTCCCAAAACATTTGGAGGGCTGAGTTTGCCTATGCCTGCTTTTAAGTATACTGATCTGGTGTCCAGAATATGAATAGCTTATTTTAGGAATGTTTTTTGTTTGTTTGTTTGTTTCCAATATGCTTCTGATTATTTTCCATACCTAAATCCATTTGGGGCAATGCACAAAATGTGGATTGTGAATTAGCTTTGCACATTAGGCCGTTGGGATAGCTCAGTCGGTAGGGCATGAGGCTCTTAATCTGAGGGTTGTGGGTTTAAGCCCCGTGTTGGGCAAAAGATTCCTGCATTGCAGGGGTTGGACTAGATGACCCTTGTGGTCTCTTCCAGCTCTACAGTTCTATTCCATAAACAGAGGCAGTTTTAGGGTGGTACAACCAGTGCTGCGGCACTGGGCACTGTGCTGCAGAGGATGCCACAACAACGCTGTAGAATGGAGCTCAAGAGGCGTGGGGTGCCAATTTTTGTGTGTTGCCCAGAGTCCAAAGAGGGTTTGAGAGACCAAAGTCCGCCACTGCCATAGAGCTTTGCTTGATTGACGTCTCAAATACTTGTGTTGTGCTCAGGGGCGCCTTACCCATAGAGGCTAGTGGCGCAGGGAGCCAGGGTGCCAAGTTCTGGAGGGCGCCAGGGAAGAGGCGGAGGCTGGATGTGGCACCTTACGGCATCAGCTCGCCGCCCTCACCCGCCTCCACCATGCCACGCCAAAGCAGCGCTGCGCCCGGAGCCTGCTGTAGCCACCGTGGCACGAAGCAGCCAGCTGAGCTGGGAGCCACCGTGTTCAGCCTCCGCCTCTTCCCCGCCAGAGGAGCTGCCCTCCAGCCATTGCCTGCCTCCTCCAGCCCCGCAAAGCTGGGCGTGTCGCCGGCAGCACAGTCCTTCCTAAAAAAGGTCAGCAACTCTGGGAAAGGGGGGGGGGAGCAGAGGGATATTTGCATCACAGTGCCGGATATGCTTAAGACGGCCCTGGTTGTGCTATATGTCCTCGTAACCAACTCTGCAGGTGAGTCTATAGGAAACCAGGTTGCCTTTCAAGAAGTTTGTTGATTTCCTGAAGTGCTTTAAAGAACATTCTTCACAGCGGTTGTGAAAGTCTGTTTGTCATTCAAACAAAGCTCATGTGAAGAATTGTGTGACAGTGTCAGCAACAGAGTGGATCTGCAGCGCCAAGGTAGCGTTGTTTCCTCAGAGCAGATAATGAAATTCATCCAAATGCTTGGATATCCTCATGAATCTTTTTTTTTAAAAAAAATATCTAATTTTTCTTTATCACTAAAACACGAAACATTTTGTGATCCATCTGTTCTAAGTAAGCTAACTTGGAATTGCCTGGAAATTGAACTTCAAGCAACAGGAAGTTGGGCTTGTTTGGCAAATGTTCTTTCTCCTAAAACTGCTAATATGCCTAAGGGAGGAAAATGGAAACGTTTGCTTATTGCTCAGAAAGATCTTATAATTTGATTTTGGAACATTTATACAGTGCCTACTCCTAATAAAGAGACAAATGCCATATTGCTGGAGGAAATTGCCCTCTCTTGTAATACGTCAGGTTACTCAATTTGCCATGTGTTCAGGTCAGGAGGAGAAAGGGGGAGATGATTGAGGAATTTGATCTTTGTGAATTCTGATATGAATAGGCCTGGTCCACACCTTTGAGATGAATGGGTGAATTGGAATTGGAATCCACTAGTTTTCACATTTCCTGAACGATCTGACACAGTTCTTAGCTTAAGAAAAAAGGATTAAAATACATTTACAAGTACATATCTTTTGCTTTATATTATTTAAATATTGCTAATTTCCATTTTCACACAGATTTTAGGGTTTAGCCAAGTAAGTTATACTCAGAGTAAACCCAATGAAAGCCCTTTTCAGAATAACTTGCATTAGTACCAATCATCTATTCTAGGAGAAGAAAAGATTGGATCTAGCTCTCCATTTCCCATTTCAGTTCCCTGAACTATCAACAGGATTTCAGCACATTGAGTGAAGAATTAAAACCCAGATATTTGGGCAAGTGCAAACAGCTAAACAAATTAACAGTGCAGACAACTGAACCAACCTTAAAATAGTTCTATGTGTTTGTGGGACAGGAGTGCACCTTTTAAAGTGTAGCTGTTGATTCAAACGTCTACAATTTAAAACAAAAATGTTTTGAGGAGAAAAGATTCATATTAGATAACTGAGCTCTGTCAACAGATATACTCTAGAACTATACTATATTTAGAAGAAACCCAGCAATCTAATATCCAAAGCAATAAGTTTGTCTTATGCAAATGGCCAGTCATTGTAAAACAAGCCACAGGTGATTTCTTTACAAAATTGTGGGCTGTTCAGATTTGCAGAATGAGGAGCAAGAATAACTTGTGTGTGGTTTTATATGCTGGTTTCTCAGTGAAAACAGCCACTTGCGTGTATTGTTGTGTATGTACCCAATGTCATCTTCAGAGCAGTAACAAGCTGCAGGCCCCTGGGGCTGAATCTCTGGCGATGCCCTTGGACCATTCCTTTACTCTTAGGCAATTACTGTCACTTCAAGGCCTTCACATCACAGAACATGAGGAAAGAGAGCAGATGAAAAGGCTTCCACATGGGAGATTGTGCTTCTCAAGGTTCGATTTATCTCTCTTTTCTGAAATTAGCATAGGTTTTGCTGGAGATTTTCACACGTTGTGAGCCTTCCTTTGTTTCTAGCCTTGGCGATGGATGATCACCTTTACATATTGGGATTTTCTCCCCTAGACTGAAAGCTAAAAGATTATAATTAGGACTTGATAGCCTTGACCTTCCATGCAATATAAGAACTTTAAGGGTTTGTTTTTACAAGCAAGGGGTATATCAATTTTATGGAATTTTATTGTTTATGAAATAATATATGTGCAGTGATATATTAATCTATTTGCATTGCTATACATCCTGTCATAGAAGGGAATTTCCCCAGCTGCTACCTGCTCATACCACATCCAAGGCATTCTTACTTTTGTTCCTAGATTACTCAAATATGGCAAATCAGGTGAATGAAACATAAAACTACACAGCACTACACTTCCTTAGCCTCATGATATGACAAAGGAAAAACGTGTTTCAGTTGACTATTCTGATGGTCATCCTAATACAAAGCTCAATGTGATAGCCTCAAACTGTTTCACGGGGAAAATGTATCACAGCCTAGCCTTAAGGCTACTGTGTTTTCTTCTCAAGCAGTTACCATCTTCACAGTACATATCAGGTGCTGAGAAGCAAGCCTCATATTGTCATATGAAGATCTTCAGCTGCTGGCTGCCTCACATCACTGTAAGTCAGAGGTTTTCAACCTTTTTGAGTCCACGGCTCCCCTGACCAACTACATTCTTTCTGCGGCACCCCTGTGGGGCTCAGGAGCCCAGTTATGTCACCCCTTGCCTCTCACCCTTTTTTGAAAACCCTCCCTTGTGGAGCATTCCCTCAGCCTCCGCCCCCTCTCCTTGGGGGTCCTCTGGGCACCACCACCCAATTGGGTTTTGCCCAATCCCAGCACCCTTGTCACCCAGCAACCCTTTTAGAAGTACCTTTACAGGACTTGTTGGGTAATGAAGTCCAAATGTGGAAAAGAAAGAAAGGCAGCAATGCTTATCAACTTTTGGGGGGCAGCCCCCTCAAATATTTTATTGGGGGAGACTGAAGGGACATGGACCCCTAGGAGTTGACGCCTATATCTGGAAGGCACAAAGTTGCAGAGGGAGTGGTTCAGCAGTATATCACACTAGGCTTCCCCTCTTAGTAGTTGTTACTACAGCATTTAGCTACATACATAGCTAGCTGCCCCTCCCAAATCTGGTCTGAAGCTTCTTTGTGGTGAGGTGAAACAGGAGAAACCACATCTCTGGTTGCTTAACACTCATTCACATGCTCCTCTACTTCTTCCAAATGGCCCTGGCCCATTCCTCTTCTCCAGCAGTAGCTCCATGCTGATCTCAGGTTCTGTGCCTCAGCTAAGGGGTGGCCATGGTCCCATCTTTGGAAAATCATGAAGAGTGGACCTCCTGCTCCAAGCAGCTGGCTTGGTTGGTCATCGAATGGAATGAGTCCTCATAATTAGAGGCCACCAGAAACATGACAAAGGTAAGGTCTGAGCCATTCCCAAATGTTTGTTGATGGTGTTCAGTCATGCTGGAGGAGTGCTAAATCTGAAAGCTCTAAAGGCGATAGTTCCTCTCATGAGAACTGGAATGCTCCTATAATATACCTATCCAAGCTTTAGAACTTGAACCATCAATCCGCTTTTCCTATCCAACCAGAAACAAAGTGTTACAGGTGAATATGAGCTAGAATGTTAAATTAGCAGATAGCTAGGGACACGGGTGGCGCTGTTGGTTAAACCACAGAGCCTAGGACTTCCCGATCAGAAGGTCTGTGATTCGAATCCCCACGATGAGGTGAGCTCCCATTGCTTGGTCCCTGCTCCTGCCAACCTAGCAGTTTGAAAGCACGTCAAAGTGCAAGTAGATAAATAGGTACCACTCCGGCGGGAAGGTAAACGGCGTTTCCGTGCGCTGCTCTGGTTCGCCAGAAGCGGCTTAGTCATGATGGCCACATGACCCGGAAGCTGTATGCCGGCTCCCTCGGCCAATAAAGCGAGATGAGCGCAGCAACCCCAGAGTCGGCCACGACTGAACCTAATGGTCAGGGGTCCCTTTACCTTTATAAAATTAAAAACAAGGCTAGATAACTTCTAATACAATCCTTTTTACTCCTACCAGGGAGTATACCCCATTAAACTCAATGTGGCTTACGTCTCAGTAGATAATTTATAGAATTGTACATTGCACGCCCATTTGTATTTATTTATCTTGGAGTATCCTTCTTTTACCAAGATGGGCTTATTTCAGAATATAGGTCCGTGGGTTTGTGCTGCAACAGTGAAAGAGGAAGGGAGACAATATTCTCTTTAAACTCATGTTACTTGATATTTTCAATTAGACAGAGATGCTCCCTCTCAATGATATTGGGTTTCTTCTCCAACGTTGTGATGAGTGATGAGGTTTCAGACCCATATATCATGGCTACCAAAACAAAAGCATTTCAAAGCCCTGCTAATTATTGAAGAGGTTTTACAGAACCTTCTTGAGATACCCAGAATTGTGTTTGCAAACTAAACATGGACATTGACAGCATGCCAGCATAGTTCCCCAAGAGGACTTGAGCAAGACATTTTAATTTTTTTAAAAAAGAAAGATATTGAGCCAGACTTTTGGTTTATCAAGGTTTACTGTGAATGAGCAGCTAAGCTAGTACAC